CCTGTCTCGGTTGAAGACCCTAAGCCAACAATTAAGACAACAACTATCCGAGAAGATGAGGTTTAGAAGGGACACCAGCCGGGTCTTGTCTCCGATGCTGTCACAATTTGGAATTGATTATGAATATACTAAGACAAGTAATGGAAAAAGGATTTTTTGAGGGGTCCTAAATCGGAAGAGGGTGTTGAAAGTGCCTAGAAAACCTCTTTCTGCCTCACCCTCGCATTTTTTCTCCTTTTCAAAGTTTTCATTCATCTCACCACCGAGTCTCTGTATCTTGAGATTTGTCAATTCCATCTACTACTTCCAAGTATTTTTGGTTTTACGCGGTTTCCTCTGCTTTATGTCCACCACTCAGTTTGGCTCCTTTATCATTTGCTGAAAATTTTTTGTTCACGGATACTGTCTACCATGCTTTTGTTCCTTGCCAATCCAATAAAAATAAGTTACCATATTTTCTCCCCTAGTGGTCTAATTTGATGTCAATTTTTGCTGACTTTCCTGAAAATAATTCCGCGAAGATAAGTTTATTTACAGACAGTATTGTACTTCTGATCAGAGGCTGATACTTAATTTGGGAAAGGATGACTAATATAGTGGTCCAGCATACATTGTGGATCGCAATTTGGCATGCAAGGGTCCACACAGGCGAGTTTACCTAAACGCAGACATGAGAAACCTTCAGTTGTCTATGTTAGTGTTGTTAGAAGAAATTATAAATTGAGAACAAGTTTTAGAAAATCTTAAAAAATTGCATAGAAAAATCAAAAATTAAATTTGAAAAAATTGTAAGTTGAAAGTAAGTTAATTGAAAATATACCTGATTCAAAACGTGAAGGAGCTGATGGTGATAGTGATTGATTTGGACCTTGAAACTGGTGCTGTATAAGCTTCGATGGTCCACAGATTCGCTCGCAGTGTTGCATGCATAGTGGATAACATGAAGCAGATCCAACACTGGCGCACGACTTCCGGCAAAATTCCGGGCAAGAGTCCGGACATCGTAATTCACGAACAGTGATAGGGTCTTGAGCATTAGAAATTCTGGGGTCGATAGGAGGGGGCAAAGTGGGTGGTATTATACCGACTGAAGGTAGTGCGGGTTTGGGAGGAAGAGTGGGAGGCATCCCGGAAACGGTAGCTATCATCGGATATCTAGGAGAACTAGGAGGTAACCCAGTGACAGCAGAATTTTCGGGATTCCTAGGAGGTAGGGTGGAAAGCATCCTTGTAACACTAGGTATCATTGGGAACCTAGGAGAAAAAGTGGGAGGAATTCTGGTGACGGCAGATATCACGGGGTTCCTTGGAGGAACGGTGGGAGGCATCCCAGTGGAGGTGGGTAACAATGGGATGTTAAGAGGTCCTCGGGGAATCCCACCGTTGGTAGGAATAGGCATTATGGGGTCTCCTGAAGGTGGAGTGAGAGGGATTTCTGTGTAGGCAGGTAACATTGGGTTGTTAGGTGGTAACGGAGGGATCTCGGTAACGGTAGGCATCACGGGGCTCCTGGGAGGAAGCACAGTAGAACTAACCACAGGGACAGCAGGAGTACTAGCTATAGGCATCGTAAACTGCTGAGGCATACACGACTGAGAGCAGATGCCATCACAGTAGGATGCACATCCTGGATGGGTCCTGTCTTGATAGCACGTGGAGATACAGAGGGGTCGACAGGTTTTGAAGCACTGAGTGAACTGCTGCTCAACTGCGCAAGGGCAGGTCCAGGACCGAATGATCTTCTTGCAAGCACAACGAGGAATCGCTCCTGC